ACATGTCCAAGATAACAAGTATAGGTATGAACATAAACATACACAAAGGAAGTAAATACAAATAAATGGGGTGGGATTCAAAATTTTTTTACTACCGGTTCTGTGGGTGTGGCTTGGTGGGCGTGGCATGGCTTGGTGGGCATGGCAGGGGAAGGATACTGTAAAATCTCCATTCCCACCCCACTCCAGGGGAAGGATACTGTAAAATCTCCATTCCCTCCCGATCAGCTGGGACTCAGGAGGCAGAGAATAGATGGGGGCGGGGCCAGTCGGTATTTACCGGTTCTCCGAATTACTCAAAATTTCCGCTACCGGTTCTCCAGAACTGGTCAGAACCTGCTGAATACCACCTCTGACAGTAGGCACGCTTATGCACACCCTCTTTACGGACCTAAGAATGGAGTGAAGTCCACGGTAAACAGTTTGAAGTTGAAACTGTGTCTTGTTTAGTAAGAGAAATTTTGGGATCAATTGTGGTCTTAAGTCGATGACTACCTGTATCTATTATTACGCAAAAGAAAAAGTTGAGGCTGTATGTAATTACCTTATTCTATTGTCCTAAAAATAATCGGAAGTCAGTGGGTTTTTTTTCCCTTTTCTCTCTTACCGTATACTTTTTCCCCTTCCCTTTTTCCTCTCTTAACTTTCCCATTGTTTTCATTTTTCTTTGTATTTTATGCTTCAATAAACTAGTAAAATTGGTCAATTCTGATAAACACATTAGAACCGTTTCTTATTTTTCTGAAATTATTCTTGCATAGAACTGTCCATGGCCTATTTGCAACAGGGATTAAAAGCTATGATCTCTAGTACCTTTTTATTCCTTTTTAGTGTAATCCTGGTCAATTTTAGTTGCAAGATTTTCACAGCAGTCTAGAGCAGTCTTTCTGAATTTAAGATGCATGGATTTCAACTTCCAAAATTGTAGACCTAATTTATTATTCCAGTTGTCAGTAATCTCAATTGCAACTCTGTGAGATGACTATCCTTCTTCTCTGCAATCCATTCGTAGAAACATCTAAGAAGGTTGCAAAATTCCTATCAAAATCACTGTTGTTTTTTAATTGCCGGATACCTTCTTCAAATTCTTGGCTGTTTTCAGGTTTTTTTAAAAAAAAAATACTATTTTGTTTTATATTTTATTTTATTTTATGCTCTATGGCACCTTATGATTGGTCTTGCACTGTTAAATTATTTCTTTTATCATCCCATCCAGTGTCCTACCGAATTAAATAGGACAGGAGCATATACAATTTTGGAACAAAATTTCATCCAAGCGCCATAATTATGCCCATCAAAGTCTATTAAGAAGAAATCAATAGGACTTATTGTTTTAATTAGGTACTTAAGACAGTATTTTCAATACAAATTGCTAAATAAATTCCCGCTATCCCAGCATTGCCTGGACAAGCTGGCTGGTTGGCTCAAAAGCCTGGAGCATCTCATCCCTTTGGGATTCTGGTTTTCCTTGTTAATAATGCCAAGCCTAATTCTCGTCAGTTATGCTCCGGGCTTTCCTTCTTGCTGTGTCTGTTCATGCAAGGAAAATGTGAATACAGTATTGGGTTTAGCTGCTCTAATGTGTGCAAAAATTTAACAACCATTTCTCTAAATCACATCAAACCAGCTAAATTATACCACTGATTTAAAAGCCCATCCAAGCCCTGATAGGGAATTTCAGACATATGCTGGGCAAACATCTCTCTTTTTAATAGATAAACTTAATATTTTAGTACTATGACTTAGGCATAGCATAGTTGACCTGGGAAAGGAATCTACCACACTACCCTGTTTCCCCGAAAATAAGACATCCCCTGATAATAAGCCCAATCCAGCTTTTGAGCGCATGCGCTAAAATCAGCCCCCTCTGAAAATAAGCCCTCTCCGAAAATATTTAAAGCATGCGCAGATGGTCCCTGCCATTTCCTCTGGTTTTCTCCACGTGCCCCAAAATAATAAGATGTCCCCGAAAATAAGGCCAAGCGGTTATTTCGGGGTTCAAAAAAATATAAGACAGGGTCTTATTTTGGGGGAAACACGGTAGACATTTAAGTGTTTTATTTATGGGGTGTTTTTGGCTTTTATCTTTTTAAGATTGTAAGCAGAGTTAGCCTGGGATAAGATGGGCAGCCAATAAATTAAGTTAATTTTCAGGGAGGATGAGAGGTTAATATATAGAGAGGTTCTGGCAGCCAGCAGACCTTTGCTGCCCATTGGGAGGTCTGCTGGCTTGAACCTTACTGTATATATTCATCCTCATTATGGCATCATCACAGCTTACCATGGAATTCATTATCCACCTCTTCTTTTTAATCCTATTGAGTGCACAAGTCCATGTAAACCCCATAATAATTTCTAGAAGCAGCAAATTATCTTTAGATTATTGACTTCAGTTTTTAAAAGTGTAAACATTGATCTAATCTTTCCGAAATGGGCTTTATGGAATTTAAGGAACTGAGTGTTTAGATCTGAAGGAAAGACATATTTCAGCATCTAAAATTTCAGGCATGCGCATAAATATCCCGCAGGGCAACTTGTCTTGTTTAGCAACAGAATTTTGGGGCTCAATCGTGGTCGTAAATCGAGGACTTCCTGTATGTCGGTTAGGAAGTATATTTAGTAAAACTAGAAAAGGAGGGTTCAGAATAAATGGGTCAGTGAATGAGGATTGAATGCAAAATGAGCAGTCAATGTGAAAGAATCATGTTGAAGTAGTTTGATCATGTTTGTTTAATTTGTGTCTTTGAGTCAGTGTTGACTCCTGGATTAGTTCCTGCAGCTTTCTTGGCAAGTTTTTCAGAAGTGGTTTGCTTCTGCCAGCTTCCTAGGGCTAAAGGAAGGACTGGCCCGAAGTCACCCAGTTGGTTTTGTACCGAAGGTGGAACTAGAACTCTCGGTCTCCCATTTTCCTAATGCCTTCAATCACTACACCAAATTGGCTCTAGTTTGGTGATAAACAGAGAACAAATTAGGATTGAGTTGACAAGTAAATGTCTGGAGCGAAAGAGTTGAAAGCAAGGGGAAAATTGGCGAAGTTTTAACTGAATGAAAGGGGTCAAATCCTTCAAAACCAAGGAAGTGAGAATTTGAAAAAGATAAAAGAAAGTGTGTGCGCAGCAGTGTATATACTGTATATATGGTGGCAAGTCAGGTTTGCAAAAGTAGAAAGGTATAGAGAATTGTACTTGCGTAGTTTGAGAAAGTCAGTTAGTGGTTAAGGCTAGAAACCAGGAGACTGAATTCTAGTTCTTCCTTAGACATAAAGCCAGCTGAGTGACCTATATCAGCCCTAGGAAGGAGAAGAAGAAGATGATAATAATAGCAAACCACTTTAGGAAATCTTGCCAAGAAAACTGCAGGGATTTGTCAGGCAGTTGCCAGAAGTCAACACTGACTCAAAGTCACAAAAGTAATATCCAAAACCTCGATTTGGGCATAAAAGTTTAGGTTCGCACCAAAGTGGTACCTATTTATCTACTTGCATTTGCACGCTTTCAAACCAGTGATGGGTTTCAAAATTTTTAACTACCGGTTCTGTAGGTGTGGCTTGGTGGGCATGGCAGGGGAACGATACAGTAAAATCTCCATTCCCTCCCCACTCCAGGGGAAAATTACTGCAAAATCCCCATTTCATCCTGATCAGCTGGGACTTGGGAGGCAGAGAATAGATGGGGGCGGGGCCAGTCAGAATTTTTACTACCGGTTCTCCGAACTACTCAAAATTTCTGCTACCAGTTCTCCCGAACCTGCTGAAACCCACCTCTGTTTCAAACTGATAGGTGGGGCAAGTGATGGGAGCTCACCTCGTTGTGTGGCACTCAAGCCTTCAATCCAGGCTGTCAGCTTTCCAGCTGACAAGCTCAGCTTCTTTAACCACTGAGCCATTGCACCCCCTAGATTTAACTATATCTTCATTTTATTTCTGTGGTTTGCCTTTAATGTCCATCTCCATTGCTACTTACCCTTTCTGCACTTCGCATAAAATTGCTAACCCCAAAAAGGAATATTATAATGGATATTATAGGAGCCTTGGTGGTGCAGCAGACTAAAGTGCTGTTAAGTAGCATTTAGCTGCCAGCTGCCTGCAATTACTGCGAGTTCAAATCTCACCAGGCTCAAGGTTGACTCAGCCTTCCATCCTTTCGAGGTAGGTAAAATGAGGACCCGGTTTGTGGGGGCAATAAGCTGACTTTGTATAAAAAAGAACACCGCTGGGGGGGGGGGGCAAAAGCCCTACTAAGCAGATATATACAAAAGTATGAAGGCTATTGCTTAACGCACTGTAAGCCGCCCTGAGTCTCCGGAGAAGGGCGGCATATAAATCGAACCAATAAATAAATAAATAAAATATATATTCAGCTATGGAAGGGGTATCAAACTGGATTTCTTTGAGGGCCGGATCAGCATTGGAGTTCTCCTCCATGGGCCGTCTGGGAGGGGGATTCAGGGGGTGACGGGACAGATGCCTCCTGCCGCACTTTGCTGGCCAAAACAGGGTGCGCATGGGCCTCGCACGCCCTGTTTTCGGCCTGGAAGGTCTCCTGCAGAACTTTGCTGTGTAAAACGGGGCGGGGGGGCTGCGCATGGATCCCAGTGCCCCGTTTTGCCTGTCAGAGTGCTGCAGGAGGCCGTCCAGGCTGAAAATGGATCACAGCGTGGCCGCATGCAGCCCCCCCCCGTGCCCCATTTTGGCCGGCAGGGGCATCGCGGTCCAATCCTGTGCTATTTTCCAGTCTGATCCTGTGGACCAGATTTAAGCATCCCTGATCTATGGTATGGCACTGTGTGGTCCTTTCTCACGTCACCTCCTTTGCTTAATGCACTTTCTCTACCTCTGCAGTCTTGGACTGTTTAAGATGGAGAAACCAACTGGGATATTCTGTATGCAAGGTTTCATTACTAAGAATTAATCATTCCTTTCGGCTGAGCAGAAGCATTAGCTAGAGAGATCATGCTCCATTATGTCCACTCTAAGAGAAAAATCTCATCTTGAGGCTGTGCAGTCTGAAAAAGCAAGAGGCCTTTTTACTTGACGTTCGATCTGTCAAACTAAAATAAGAATGGGCTGGCGTTTGTCGATGCGGAGTTCCAGAAAGAGGTAGTCCTCGACTTACGACCGCAATTGAGCCAGATTTTCCTGTTGATAAGTGAGATTAAGTGAGTTTGGCCCCATTTTGCAATATTTTTTTTTTTAAACCACAGTTCTTAAGTGAATCACTGCAGTTGTTTAATTAGCAACACGGTTGTTAAGTGAATCTGGATTCCCCCTTGACTTTGCTCATCAGAAGGTCGCAAAGGGGGATCCCATGACCCCGGGGACACTGCAACCATCATAAATACATGCCGGTTCAGTGGTGGGTTGCTCCCGGTTCTGTCCGGTTCTATAGAACCAGTAGTAAAACTGGTGGGAGGCTCCGCCCACTCGGCATGATGTCATCATTGGTGATCTGTGCATGCGCAGAAGAGTGCACAAGCAAAGCGAGCGAGCACGATCCCGCTGCGAATCGGTAGTAAAGGTAAGTGGAACCTACCCCTGTGCTGATTGCATGTAGTTTGATCACGTGCCCATGGGGTTGCTGCAGTGATCATAAGTGTGAAAAAAACCAATCACGTCGCTTTTTTCGGTGCCGTTGTAACTTGGACCGGTCGCTAAATGAACTGTTGGAAATTGAGGACTACTTGTATATGAAAGAAGCAACAGTGATACAATTCTAAAGACTGCTGACTTTAGGGAGAAAACCGAGAGTTGTTGGAATATAGGAAACATCTTTGATGTTGGAGAGTTGAGTTGTGTACATCAGTTCTTGAATTAAAGTGTATTGTGTTCTACTTCTTTAGAAATGGCTGTTGTGTTCCTGAAGATTAGGGTCCCCAGAACTTCAGATTATCGTCAAGTTTTTTTAAGCCATTCCAGTTTAAGGATGTAATTGTTGCTAAAAGCTCAGATTCAGATTCTTCCCATAATTTTTTGTAGTCTTCCATTCACATGGAATTCTCTGGCTTCAGGAATAGAGTACACTTTATTTGGCCAAGTGTGATTAGATACACAAGGAATTAGTCTCCGGTGCAGAAGCTCCCAATCAGTGGTGGGATTTAGCCGGTTCGGTCCAGTCCGGACGAACCGGTAGTTAAATTGCTGGCTGGCCCCATCCTGCCCCTCCCTGCCCCACCCGTTCCAGGTCCCCCCCTGCGGCCCGTTTTCACTCCCAGGAGGCTGCAGGGAGGCCTCCTAGGCCCAAAATGGGGCGCAGGGGGGTGCGGGGTGCCCCCCCCCCCCCGTGGCCTGTTTTCACTCCCAGGAGGCTGCAGGGAGGCCTCCTAGGCCCAAAACAGGGCACAGGGGAGCGGTGCATCCCCCTCACACCTGTTTTTACTCTCAGGGGGGTGCAGGAGGCCAAATGCTGCCTGCCACACCCTCTGGCCATGCCACCCAGCCGGTCATTAGGGCAGAGAACCGGTTGCTAAATTATTTGAATCCCACCACTGCTCTCAATATATATGCAAAGAAACAGAGTAATAATCATCCTAATAATGATACCAATAAGAGGGGATAGTAGGGAAGATGAGAAGATAATAATAATACTACAGCCCTACAACATGGGTGAATATACTTAGACATAAGACAGTAGTGTGGGGATTAGGTGTTCAGCAGAGCGATGGCATGCGGGAAAAAATCTGACTTTGTGTCTAGTTGTGTTGGCATGCACTGTTCCCTATAGCGGCATCCAGAAGGGAGAAGTTGAAACATTTTAGGTCCAGGATGTGAAGTGTCTGTAGATATTTTCTCATCCCTCTTTCTGGCTCATGCAATATGCAGGTCCTCAGTGGAAGGCAGGCAGGTTGCAATGGTTTTTTCTGCAGTCCTAACTATCTGTGGGAATCTGTACCTGTCCTGTTTAGCTGCTGTACTAAACCAGACAGTTATAAAAGTACAAATGACAAAAAGAACAAGGACTCTTGAATCCTCACGTATCATTAAGCCTGAACTGTAACTTGAATGAATGTCAAGCCAACCTTCTTCCACTTCATTGCCAATATCTTGATGGAGTTTCTTCTTCCAGGCACTCCCTATCCGCTTGCTGTGAGTACCCCATCTTACTTGACCTCTTTGAGATCATCAGCTGGTGGGCAGTACAAAATTAACCTTCAAGAATAAGAAGAAATTATCTAGATCCCATTATCCACTCCTTACCGTTCTGTCAAGATGGAAAGAATCATTATAAACTATTGGGTATGAATTATTTTCAAGTGTCTTTCCTTTCTTCCAATTAACATCTTGGGCAGTCTTAAATTCTAGAAGAGAGAGAGAGAGAATGAAAGAGGGAGAGAGAAATATCCCTTTAAAATCATCTTGGGCAGTGTTAAATTCTAGGAGAGAAAGGAAGGAAGGAAGGAAGGAAAGAAAGAAAGAAAGAAAGAAAGAAAGAAAGAAAGAAAGAAAGAAAGAAAGAGAGAGAAATATCTTTTAAAAATCATCTTGGGAAGTCTTAAATTCTAGGAAGAAAGAAAGAGAGAGAGAGAAATATCTTTTTAAAATCATCTTGGGAAGTCTTAAATTGTAGGAGAGAAAGAAAAAGAAAGAGAGAGAGAGAGAAATATCTTTTTAAAATCATCTTGGGGAGTCTTAAATTCTAGGAGAGAAAGAGAGAGAGAGAGAGAGAGAGAAAGAGAGATATCTTTTTAAAATTATCTTGGGAAGTCTTAAATTCTAGGAGAGAAAGAAAAAGAAAGAAAGAGAGAGAAAGTAAGAGAGAGAGAGAGAGAGAGAGAGAAAGAGAGAAAGAGAGAAATATCTTTTTAAAATCATCTTGGGAAGTCTTAAATTCTAGGAGAGAAAGAAAAAGAAAGAAAAAGAAAGAAAGGGAAAGAGAAAGAAAGAGAGAGAGAGAGAAATATCCCTTTAAAATCATATTGGGAAGTCTTAAATTCTAGGAGAGAAAGAAAGAAAGAAAATGAAAGAAAGAAAGGAAGGAAGGAAGGGATAAAAAAGAGAGAAAAACATATATTTTAAATCATGTCATATAGACCCAAGAAGTTAGTATTAAAAAGTCCCACTTTCTCTGCAACCTTCTAAAAAGCCTAATTCAATTTCCTATCCTTACACACACAGATAACGACAGACGCACACTCCTTTCCCATTACTCATAGATATAGACAAAAAAACAACAACAAAAAAACCCTGAGTTTTTCGACACCTCCGTACACCAAAAATAGATTAGTTCTTCCCCAAATAGAAATGATCACCTTTTGGCCATTTTCTGTCGCTGCCATTGGCTTTAAGACAATAAATTGTGATAAGCTGATCAGTGAAGTTGAAAAGATTGAACAGCAGGACTCCACTTTCAACACAAAAATACAGTGAATTGATATTGTCGTGTTTTTTCCCTCCTCACCTCTCCAACCCTTGCAAATACATAGAAAGGGAACGTTTGAAGAAGATTTAAACTGACTTCTGTTAGAAAGTTTCAAATGGCACCTCTGAGAATCATTTCTTGTGAATCCAGAGGTAAGGTGGGGAAGGCTGTTTTCACCCTCCCCAGGCTCCTAGAAAGCCTCTGGAGCCTGGGGAGGGCAAAAAACGGGCCTACCGGGCCCACTGTGCCATCACGTGCCAAAAGTGGGGGGAGTGCGGGTGGATCACGCGCGTATGCATGGGGGGCGGGGCACATAGAATTATGGGTGTGGGCACGCACGACCCCCCCATGCGATCCCCACTTTTGGCACACGATGGCAAAAAGGTTTGCCATCACTGCCCTACACCACTTCAGTCAAATGGTTGTCCAATCTCTTCTTAAAAACCTCCAGGGATGGAACCCAGATTTGCTTAACAACTGTGTTATTAACTGAATAAATGCAGTGCTAACAACTGAGGTAAAACCCATATCAAAACAATTTACCTTATGTGTGGCCAGAATTTGAAAACAACATTGTACACACCACAGTACTTGAGCAAAATGCTCCAGTTGAGATCGGCATATGTGGGACTGATTGGAGTAGATTGTAGGGTTGTCAGTGAAATACAATTTTATCATATTTTATTTATCCATATCATAAATTATTGTATTTTATTCCAATCCCGTTTTAAATTGTATTTTATTCCAATTCCATTTTAAATTGTTTTTATCGGACCTTAGTAATAATTTGTGTTTGGAACTCTGCACTTTGATATGGTCCATGGACCTAATCAATAATTTAATTTAATTTAATTTAATTAATCATATTTCTATGCCGCCCAACTCCCAAGAGACTCTGGGCGGCTTACAACAAAAATAATACAAACAATGAACATAATTTTTTTAAAAAAAACATTATAAAAGCATTCTAAAAACATTAAAAACACATACACACCATCCATGGCCGGATCTCGCAAGATTAAATAGCGCGATCAACGGCCCCAGGCCTGCCCGGAAAAGCCAGATCTTCACCGCTTTCCGGAAGGCCAATAGGGTGGGGGTAGTCCGTACTAAAGCAAACTAACTAACTAACTACCTGAGGCAAAAAAGATGGGGCAAAATTCACTTAATAAATGTCTCACTTTGCCACAGAAATGCTGGGCTCAATTAAGGTCATAAGTCAAGGATTACCTGTAACTATCGGTCAAAAGGTCAAAGTAAAGGTAAAGCTCCTTCAAACCCTGTCACCTTCTCCATCCATCACTTTCTGTAGTTCAAAGAAAGGAGGTTTTAGCTGGTAAAACAAACTCTGTTGTTATGTAGGCTGGTGTTGCTAGGTAACCATAAAATGGAAAGCCATCCAGGTCCTTGAGGAAGGCCATGAACCATCTGGAAAAATGCACTTATAATTATTGATCTATGGTATTGCTTTCCTACGAAGCATCCAAATACTGTATGCATCACTGAACTGAAATACATCAACCAAACATAATGTGTAAGGTTGCCAAAAATACAAAAGGCAAGGAAAGTGAATATTGGTTGAAGCCAGCAGAAATGCACACGGGGACAATATTGCAAAATACAGAATGAGAGAGTTGGAAGGGACCTTGGAGGTCTTCTAGTCCGTCCCCCTGCTTGAACAGGAGACCTTGTACCATTCCAGACACATGGCTGTCCAATCTCTTTGGAAAAAAACCTCCAGTAATGGAGCACCCAAAATTTTTGGTGGCAAGCCATAACACTGATTCATGGTTCCCATTCTCAGGAAATTTCTCCTTAGTTCTTCGGTTGATTCTCTCCTTAATTGGTTTCCATCCGTTGCTTCTTGTCCTGCCTTCAGGTGCTTTGGAGAACAGGTTGACCCCCTCTTCTCTGTGACAGCCCCTCAAATATTTTCAAATTATAAGGGGGGGAAGGGATGTGGTGGCTCAGTGGCTAAGACACTGAGCTTGTCGATCGAAAGGTCGGCAGTTCAGTGGTTCAAATCCCTAGTGCCGCGTAACGGGGTGAGCTCCCGTTACTTGTCCCAACTTCTGCCAATCTAGTAGTTCGAAAGCACGTAAAAAATGCAAGTAGAAAAATAGGGACCACCTTTGATGGGAAGGCAACAGCATTCCGTGCGCCTTTGAAGTTTAGTCATGCCGGCCACATGACCACAGAGACATTATCGGACAGAATTGGCTCTTCGGCTTTGAAACGGAGATGAGCACCGCCCCCTAGAGTCGGGAACGACTAGCACATATGTGCAAGGGGAACCTTTACCTTTATCTATAAGGTGGGGGGGGGGAGGAAAATAATGAAACATTGGTTAGGTTCAAATAGGCCCTGAGGTTTATTTCATTAACTTCTTATATAATCGCTTGACAAGCGGTAACCACGAGTGCCTTAAAGTCAGACTATAATATGGAGGAAAATGTTATTTCACAATTATGAAGGAGAGAGGATGACTAAAGAAAGAAAACGAATTACCCGTTGGCCTCAAACACAGTTGATGCACGGGGATAAAAGGCAAATGAAGCGATCTGGTACTCTCACTGCAATATTGAATACCAGAATCTTGGAATAATAGCTTATGAATAATATTATCAGGCAATTTCTAGTCATCTCTTCTTGGGCCTTTTCTTCTAGTTTCTACTTTTTCTTCAAGTTTTCTTCTAGTTAGCCTTTTCTTCTTTTTCTCCTTGGACTCTTCTAGTCCACCAAAGGTGATTTTTTTTAAAAAAAAATATATCCTCTTTTCAATCTCTGTGACTTTTCATTGCATTTTTGTTAGGGCGTGGTCAAAGATTCACACGCCATTCAGGAGTGGTATTCACTTACCTTCGCTACCGATTCGCAAACGTGAGCGCGCACTTCGCTTCCATGCGCCACCTCCGCGCATGTGCACAGCCTTCCGGGCATGTGCAGTGTCAAAAACAGGACATTTTTATATAAAATAATCTTTATTAAATATTTACAATAAAATTAACACACAATAACGATTGAAAAGCAATATAAGAAACGAAATATAGAAACCCATAAACACAGGACTAAAACGAAACAACAAACACGACTAACCGAGAGTTAAGCTCACTCTCCAATTAATATTAACTAATATCATCCTAGCCAAGCATTTCAATGCAATCAAGTTCTTTTTACTAACTACAAAACAATTGGCCTGTTTTTATCAAAATTATAAAGAGTTATAAAGCCTAGTGAATATCTAGTTAATCTAATTAGATGATTTTATCACCCTTCTCCTAAGTTTAACCTTCTTTTGAGCCAGAGAAAGCATCTGTCCCAACTTCTATTATATACTGAATCTTTCTTGTCTTTTAAGATATATGTTAGCCTGTCCATCTCAGCACATCGGAGAATCTTGTTTAGGAGCCTGGATATTTAGGATATTTATTTAGGAGCCTGGATAGCTCTGCAGACTAAAGCACTGTAATTTAACACCAGCTGTCTGCAATTACTGTAAGTTTGAATCTCACCAGGCTCAAGGTTGACTCAGCCTTCCATCCTTTCTAAGGTAGGTAAATTGAGGACCCAGTTTGGGGGGCAATAAGCTGACATTGTATAAAATATACAAAAGTATGAAGGCTATTGCTTAACGCACTGTAAGCCGCCCTGAGTCTCCGGAGAAGGGCGGCATATAAATCAAATTAAAAAAAAAAATTTAAAAAAATATTATCAGATGGTCAGGGGGCGTATCTGCATCTTTCCACAGTTGAGCAAATGAGACATGGACAAATATATACCAATCCTTCTTGTCGATGTAGTCCGGTCTTATTCTGAGTAAGTAGAGGTCTGGGTGAAGGGGAAAGCTCACACCTGTTATTTCCAGCAGCCACTGCTGTATTTTCCCCCAATAGCGTCTAGCTGATG